CTTTCTAGATAATCAATTAAATATTCAGGACAGTGCTTTAAAAAAGCTGGCCAAATTTTCTTGAAATTTTCAGATTTTGCTAAATTTTCTTGAAATCTGCAGTTTTGGCTGGAATACATGTTACTATTCTACATAACTTCCATCCAGCCCATGAAAAAAACACAGCCTTTTGGAGGAAAAGCAGGTAATGAGCTTTGCTTATGAAAATGTTTATGAATTTTTCAGTTTGATTTTGACATATTACTGGCATTGGTGACATTTTTGTTTCCTTTCACTTGTGTAGAAATAGAAAAATCTTAGAAATGTGCTAAGTACTTCGTACAGGCAGTGTTGCATTGGACACAGTTACGAAATACATGCAGCTGTATCTCACATGGGATAAGGATCTTCAAAGGGCTATCATAGATCTAAGCCCAGCTGTAAGGGGTGCTCAGATAACCTGCTGAGTAAGACCAGAGGTGAAGCCTTTTGGCACAGCAGCCCTGGTTTGGTTTGCCATAGACAGTGTCTTCTTGTGGGAGGTGCCAGTTTGGTGTCATCCCCATTTGCACATGCACACGAAGCTCCAGCACACACACATCAGTCTCCTCTCATGCATATGGTAGAGCTGTAGCTGCTCTTAACTCCTCCATCATCCCACTCTCAACTCCTTTCAAAAAAATTCTGAAAACCATTGCACAAAATGCATACTCCAGAAACCAGACTCAGCCAAAAGCTTAGGGAAAAGGTTTAAAAGGGGCTGGTGGGGCACGGGGAAACCAACCCAAAGCCTGCTGTTTGTATCTCCCTGTTGTGACAGATGAGGCTCTATAAATAAAATGATGGATAAGCTTCCTGTCATGGACCAGAAGTATTAGTAATTGCTATGAGCAATAAGTTCCATAATGAACTCTCTTCTTCCCTGAAACATTCCCAAGATTTTCAGCCATACATACACGAGGACACAATATATGAGCTGTACAGCTCTTTGTATCTTCATCATTTACAGAGGCCTTGTTTCTTCATGATTCCTCAGTCGTGTAATAAGAAAGCAGCAGAACAATAAAACTTTGGAGTGACAATTATTCTACATTTTTTTGGCTGTTTAAATGTAAGCAGGGACAGTTTAATCCTGTTTGTTAACGAATGGCAAGACAGGCTTATTTAGATTCTTATTAATCAGGTGTAAACATTGTAAAGTGCTGAAGGACCTACCTTTGAGCAGTTCTGACCCAATGCAATCCCGGGCAGAACAGAATTAATCTCTCTTTGTGCAAGAGTTTCAGGAGGGCACTAGAATGTGTAGCAACCTGCATTGATAAATGGAAGGAAGAACAGGAAATTGTGCAGTGCAACAGCAGGAGCTTTTCCTCACATAAATAAGAAAGAGTGAGTCCACAGGAAGAAACACGATGTCTTTTGTCATGAAGTTGTGAAGTAGAAATGACAGCTTAGGACAAATGGTAAGTTAATAGACCATAGCTGCTCTTAAAAACAGAGAGAAGAGAAGAAAAAAAAGAAAAGTGTGTTTGATAAGGAAGATGAATCAAGGAAAATCTTGTACAATTCTCATAAGAAGCAGCATTTCTGGACCTGTTGGAGGACAGAACAGTTTGAGCAAAAGAGTTTTTGTTGGATAGGAAGTAAACAGAATATAAAGTACCAAGCTTTAGCTAGGATTTCAGCTGTTCCTAAATTGTTTCCAAAGGTTTCATAGCCATGATAATTTTTTTCTAGTATTCCCAAACTTTCATTAAAATGATTGAAAGCTCCAGTGCTATTGCTGGCTTCATGACAGCTAGTTGTTACTGCAATCAACAGGTGCTTGAAGGGAGGCTTGATTAAAGTATCACGTAGTTAACTGGCATGTGACTTTTGTTTCTCCAGCAGACTTCCTTATCTCAAGCCTTTAATGAGGACCATGTAGAAGAGGGTTTTTTTCTCCTTGGGGCTTTTTTTTTTTTTTTTTTAAAGTGAAACTCTTGAACTTTCCTCTTTAGCAAAATTCATTTGATGTTGAGTGTGTCTTATTCAAATGTCCTTGACATTCATATCAAAAGATCTTGTATAACCTGTGATGTGCACACAATAACAATAAGGAACTGAAACTTCTCATATCTTGTTTTGGGTTATACGCAAAAGATCTTGTATAACCTGTGATGTGCACACAATAACAATGAGGAACTGAAACTTCTCCTCATATCTTGTTTTGGGTTATACACACTCCAAGCATTAAAGCAGTTTAATTGTCTTCTGGGTGGGTAACAGACCATAATAATCGTTAATTGTTATGACAGGAAAATATCTAGGGCTTGCTGAGCTGAAGTCCAATTGTCTTAGTTTGGTAATGAGACATAAACAATGAGTGAAGCTGGAAAGTGGACAAAGGGTGTTTTTTGTCAGATAATGCTCTTGTGAGGTCTTTTGGAACTGGCTTAAAACATTCACTGCCATCCCAGAAGAGACTGTGCATCATGGTCTGGTTTTCATTTGTACCTGTGCAAGGTTTTTCAGGTCAGCTAAGAGCTACTGATGAAGTCAGTTCAAACCCATTTGACACTGAAAGTTAAGAAATGTTTGGACAATTCAAGTTTGATGACTCAGTAGTGGCAACAGTAACCTCCAGCTGTGACACTGAAACAAACACCCGGGAATGGCAGGAGTTGCACAGTGAAACCGCAGGGGCCACTTCCACAGTGATTACACACTAATGTACCCAGTGCCTATTCAGAAAGGGGCTGATGAAGGCTTTGTTGGCTAGGAAAGAGTTCTTTTCTTTGCTCAGTAGCTGTAGTGTGAGCTTGTCGTCCACCTGTCCCCTCACAGGCACTTGTGAGAGAACATCCAAAGGGTTTTAAGGAGGTAAAACCGGGTTAATTTCACTGTGCATGAGATAGACTCCAGGGTGTTGGGAAGAGAGGCCATGTATGTGGGTGGCATAGAAAGTGGGTGAAACACAACAGTGCAAGGTGATAGTGCAGAGAAGTACAGCACGACTTCATTGTGGCTTGAAAGAAGGAGTATGGTGGAGGGGAGAGCCAATGAAGGCAGTCCTCTGGGGTATGAGGGAAACACCACAGTAAAGATGTAGGGCAGGAATGTTATCTCAGGACCTGAGTATCTGCTGTGGTAAAAAGGCCTCTGAGAGACCTAAGAGGTATTTGGCATTGCAGATGAGGAAGAGTATTGAAATGTTAATTTCAAAGAACAAAGAAAGATGTAGGGTCCGGACTGATCCTTAGAGGGGATCAGATGCTGGCACTAGTCACAGTGTCAGAGAAGACTGAGAGGTTGTTCAGCAGCTTGACTTCACAAATGTCATGTTCTGAAGCAAGTAGCTCCGTGTTAAGGGAAGCAATCTGCAAGGCAGCACATTTGTGTCTGCTCACAGACAGCACATCCTATGCTTGAGAGCTGCAAAGGTCTTAACATGAGCTAACTGTGTTAATACAAGTACCAGTAAGGTGTTTCTGCAATATGAAGGGTCCTGTATGCCACCCAACGTGGCTTGATTAGTCCAATTTCAAGCAGGTATTCATAGTCGTGGTCATGCTTTTTCTGCAGCTGTATGTGTAGTACAGGTTGGAGTGTCTCTCTTTTAGAGAATCATAGGATGATTTGTGTTGGGAGGGATCTTCAGGATCAAGAAGTTCCAAACCCTCCTGCCATAACCAGGAACACCTTCCACTAGACCAGGTTGCTCAAAGCCCCATCTAACCTGTCATTGAACAGCTCCAAGGATGGGAGCACAACTTCTCTGTGCAACCTGTCTCAGTGTCTCGCCACTCTCAAAGTGAAGAATTTCTTTATAGTGTGTTTCTAAACTTGCTCTCTTTCAGTTTGAAGCCATTCGCCCTTGCCCTATCACTACCTGTCCTAGTAATGTCACTCTCCAGCTCTGTTGTAGCCTCCTTTAGGTAGCACAAAGCTGCTCTAAGGTTATCTTGGAGACTTCCCAGGTTGAGCAACATCAGCTCTCTCAGCCCGTCATCACAGGCGAGGTGCTTCATTCATGGCCCTCCTCTGGACTCATTCCAACAGGTCCACAATCTTCTTACGTTGGGGACCCCAGAGCTGGATGCAGAATGTGGGTGGGGTCTCACCAGTGTGGAGCAAGGGGGAGGATCCCCTCCCTCGCCCCACTGGCCATGCTGCTTTTGATGCAGCCCAGGATACAACTGGCATGTTGCTGGGTCGGATCAACCTTCTCATCCACCAACACCCCCAGGTCCTTCTCCTGAGGGCTGCTTTCAATCTGTGTTTTCTTTTACAGTGTACTACACATATTTTAATATACTACACATATTTTTTTTATAGGTAAAAATAAAAATTGACCCAATCGTAATAAAAATACAAACAAAAAAAATTTATTCGTGACCGTGTTACAGTCCCGACAGCCACCAATAAAAAATGACAGCACAGACCCCGGGATCCAGGCTGGGTGGACGCAGATCCAGCCTCTATCCCACCAAACCCCTCTTTGTCCACACTTGCTGCTCTGCAGGGACAGTTCGTATACTCTTTTTCTTGCCCATGGCAGAGTCCCTTTGTCTCCTTTCAAAGTTCATCATATCCATGTTGGTTTCTTTCTTCACTCAAAGCTGCACAAAACCTCATCCAGCAAGAGACAAATATTCTTCCTCAGATTCCTGGAAGCCTGTGTTCAGGTGGCAGGTGTTGATGGCCCTGGTTATCTCAGATGTGTATCTTCATGGGCCATCATCACTGGGCATCCTCGGGTACATGCCACCCTGCATCTCCTGTGCAGCCGAGTTTCCTTCATATGTTAATGCAGAGTTCCACCCTTGTCAGCCAGCCAAGGTGTCACTCTAGGATTGAACCCTGGCCCCCCCTTTAATAGCATGTTTGATACATATATCTATGATCCATTGGCACGAATTTCTATCATATCCCTAACATTTTAATAGCATAATAATATTTTACATTATAAGGTTCTCTTGCATCCATGATACAAATGAACAGTGTGGTTCACAAAGGTCTGGTTTGGTTGTGTTCAATAGGCATTGGCCCGTCACCTCCGACCTGGGACTCTGCGTGCAGTCTTTGGGAAAGACAAGATTCAGAATGCTGTTCACTGCACAGACCTGCCTGAAGATGGGCTTTTAGAGGTAAGGCTTGCTAGGCAAACATGTTCTCATGGGAAGTTGTAAAGTGAAATGCTTCTTTTGACACTCTTTTAAACCAGTAAGTGTTTTCTATGTGGAGTAGTTGTGTTGTAGACCAGACTAGGCACAAAAACAGGGAGTTTATAAAGGGTGTTTGACTCAGTTAATTCTGATACTGTAAAAAAATTCATCCATGCAGTTTTCTTGAATGAATACAGTACAATGAAGTATTCAATGGAATGAAACTCAAGAGTCTTCTCTTTGTCTGAATGTGTCCTTGGGTCTGAACATCAGTACCTGACAGTGCTTCTGCAGCGACACTTCCTTAGCCCTTTCTTGGATGACCACCCTGACTCCTGAACTAGATTGTGTCTACAGTGAACTTGTGTGGAGCTGGGAATATTACAGGCACTAGGGATTCAAATCCTCCAGACAGGGCCCAGGTTTATTTGTAGACACTCATACTTACACACATCAGTTAAGATTTCCTGTGTTCTAAATTAACTTACTAATTATTATCTGATTTTGGCTTTGTATGCCAAAATTTAAAGTCCAAGAAAATGAGAAAATGTTAAATTACAGGAATTTGTAAAGACAGAAGTACTCCTATGAAAACCAGAACAAGCTCATTCACTTAAATCTGTGCCTCAAAACTAAGGTCCATAGCAGGGGGTTGAAGTGATGTGTAATCTTGGATGGATCTCTGTGTCAATGGAGATGCCTTTCCAGTGCATGCACACCTTATTTTTTGCTGTCTGTATGTATTTGTGAGTGCTTTGCTGTCAGGAAAAGCAGAATCATTGAGCAGCAAGTGCTGTCCTACTTAGATAATTTTACGTTGCCAAAATGGTGGTTTCATGGAGGAGTGAGGAAGAGCTAACATCATCTTCCTCCATGAAATTACCTGTGGGTTAAAGTGCTTTTGCTAGGAAATCCCATCTAGTTTGAGGCACAGGCTAGTGAAATTCAACACTGAGCATGGCAACCAGTATAAACAAAGTTGCAGCTTTTTTGACCGTCTTCAAGATGTCATTAAAAGTTGACAATTTTTAGTTTTTCCCTTAGGGTTTATACAAGCAAACAGGTATTTTTTCACCACATGCCTGAAGTTCCTCAGCCATGGCTTTCCAGTGGCAGCAGAATAAAAGGCACAGCCTGTAAGGGAAAAATTAAACAGGCCAACACTCAAAGAACATTTTAGTACTCCATCAGAATTTTCCACTGTCTGTTGCCTTTGCACTGGTGAAAAGCAGGTTTTGCTGGTTGCTTAAATTGTGTTTAGAGCTACTATATTTTATATTTAAATTGAGTTTAGAGCTACTAGAGTTTAGGCAAGAATTGCTTCTCCAAAACAAAAACTGAGGCTGGCATTCTTTCTCAAGGGTCTCCATTGCATGTGTTTGTCTTTTGAATCCTGCAGCTCAGTCATAACCGAAGTTGTTGATCTAGTATTACTCTGACTACACACCTTGCAGTTCCTGGTCCAGTCTGATCATTTTAACAGTAGCTTATTAATTGTATTTCTTTGGGAAAGGGATCTAAGATATTTTTTTTTGCCATAGACATAATTGTGTGCAGAATATTGCTGTTCATCAGTCTGTAGTTTCTTCTGCAGGTTAAGCCTGCATTTGTAAAGGCCATCACTCAGTGTTGTTTAGTGAGTAAATAAAGCAGTGAATGTTTTGAATAGAGCACAGTGGGTTTGTACAAAGGAAGCCTTGGCTGTACCTGTTTGGTGTGTGGAGTATTTACACTGTTAATGCTGAAGCAGCTTATTAGGTGTCCCTGCCACAGCCCTGACTCCTGCTGTGGCTGCATGTCCTCTGTGCACACAGGGTGTGTGCAGGGCCTGCAGTGCCCAAGGGATCCTGGAGGAAATGTGTAGGAACTCCTGCTGTTGGCACTGTGTATGGAAAGCTGAATAGGTTGGTTTGTGTCTTAATTGGTTTTGTGCCTTTTGAACTTGCAGAATCTAATTGACATGGAAAGGGGAGATCCCTGGTTGACCAAGTATTCTGTGATGGGCCTTAAAATGCATAGTGTTTATGGAAGCACAACAGAAACATGTTCCCTTGTGGAAGGGAATACACTGATGCCTTCCTGAGAACCTTGGTACCTTTAGTGCAAGACACTGTTTATCTTAATATTTCTTCATCCTTCTCTGCAGTTTTCATCACCCAGTTTGAGATCTAGCTGAAATTTGAAGAATTTGCAATGGCAACTACTGTCTCATTGTCCACAAAGGAGACTTCTTAGAGGAGTTGAACTAGGTAATTGAGAATTAGATAAAATGCTTCCTGAAGTCAACAGCCAAACTCTAGGTGGCTTTGGTGTTTTGCACTTAATTGACTGTCACTAGGAAGGGCAAGGTTGTGACCTTTCTCCCAAAAATCATGACTAAGGAGTACTTGGTGAAAGGAGACAGAACAACACTATCTTGGGAACAACGAGGACTAATTGTTTAGGACACTATACTTAAATAATGTAGTACAGCAATTTTTAAGTGTTTTTCTCTTAGACCTCCTTTCCATGGATCTGAAAAAAGGAAAGTTCACTTTTAATCTTAAAACCCCCTCAAACAAACAAATCAACCCCAAAAGCAAATACAAGCACTTGCTCCCACCAGTATGACCCTTAACTCCTGTCTTTGTTCTACAGACTACTTCACATTTTAGGCAGTGACTAAAGAATATCAGAATTAATGAATAACTCACTTTGGCTCAAGAAAGAAGGGGAGATGCAGTTGAGCCTTAAATGCGGCTGGTCACAGTAGTAAAATCAGTGTATTTCCATTTGCAGAACTTTAAGTGCTCTTTTTCATTCTAGTTTAGTGATACAGGAATGTGAATATTGCCCTCATCTCTTAGATGAGTTGTTTGACTTACTAGGTCAGGCACTTACTTATTCACTTCATAGACTTGTGTGTCCTCTTATCAGTACAAAATGTATTTTTACAAGTGACAATGGATAGACACAAATAGCTCAGAACAGTCTGTTTTCTCAGCCTTGTCATCAGTTTCCCATTTTAATGAGAAGAGGAAAGAAAGGAGGAAGAGTAGAGAAGGGAGACTGATAGCAATGGAGTATTTGTGAGGTGATGCAGTTTCATGACTGAAGGTTCAACCAGCAGCTGATGTTGTGTAGGACATTCATTCAGAGCAGGCAGTTGCATTTGTTTCCCACATCCAAAGCAGGTACAGCTCTACCTCTCGTCAAGTCTTTCTTCTGTTTTGTATAAAGCAGGTACTATTTAGAGAAAGCAATTACATTACTCACCTGCTTTCATGTTCCTTCTGAGTCAGGTAGAGCCAGGACTGGAACATGCATATTTTATATGCCAAGGAGCTGCTCTGTTTCACAGACTAGAGATGTGTCATCTACACGTGGTGAAAGATGATTCTGTTTCTCAACTCACCGTCTTTGACCTGAGAAACGTTTATGATAAATATCTTGATGAAATAGAAGCTTGAAAACTGTTGGATCTGATGAATCAACATTCTCTAGACAAAAGAAGTTTCCTTAAAATTGATCACTCCTGGAATAATTCTTAATCAAAGTAGTGATACAAGTATTGTGGCTACCAGACTTCACAGTTTGTGTCCCTCTTTAAAGAAGTGAAGGCAAATTAAAAATTAGTCATAAAGGTTTTATTCACATCACTGAAACTACAGTGAGTAAAACTTCCCACAGGGGGTGGTGCTGTACACACATCTCAGTTCTCTGGGTCTCAAGTGGCTCAGTACCTTTCAGATTATGCAGGAAACCACATAATTTAAAAACTGGTGGTCCAGAACTGCAGTATAACAAAACCAGTTTCTGGGGTTTGGCATGCTCTGCCTGTAACTTGTTGCTCATACTGTGCAGTTCAAGGTTTTTTGTTTTGGTTTTTTGTGTGTGAGCAGTTCCATAAGGGCATTTGCAGTGTAGAAAATCACTCTGGGGATCATAGAATGCACACATCTGGGGTGACCTGAGAGGTCTGAGGTCATTGCAGTGCAGCCTGCTGAGCCACCCAGGCTGGCTTTGTGTTCCTGTGCCATGGTGGTGGGGCAATCAGTCAGTCTCATGGAGTTTCTTCGCATAATTACCAAGTCCTTAATAGTCATACATGTGTTTGTGTGTGTGTACTTCGACACAGAAGGAGAGGATGCTGTCCTCAGCGAGACATGCATGAGAAAGGATTAGCTGTGGGATGGATAAAACTTGAGTTCTGGGTGAAACAGCCTTCTCTCTGTTGCCGAGGGCGACGCTGTTATTAGGTGACTAACCCTTGGACAGTATCGTGACAATTGCTGCGGGTGTGTGCTTACCCGTGCCTTTGTGTGCCGGCTATGCTACGAGTGGAACTGCAGAGGGGGGTGATCTCTCAAGCCACCTTTCGTGGGGGTGGGGATGTGCCAGCTGCCTTCCCAATCTCGTGTCCCCACGGCGCTCTCAGCTGGCGCTGCGTGTGCCACCGCACGGCTCCGGGTGCGTCAGGCTCCTCCTTGGGCATCGGCGCCGTGTCAGCTTTCAGCGTCACGGGCAGCTCTCCAGTCAGGCAGGAGCGAGGTCCTCCTCGAGTATCGTGTGCTGGCCTTTTCCCTTGCCTTAGAGCTATTTGTGGCGCTTACAGACGTGAAAATAACCTATCAAAGGGGGATGACTGTGCTGTTATCAAAGAGTGGGTTTCATCTGTCTTCTGAGAGAGCTGTCATGACGGTTGGTTTTTTGGCTATCACTTCTTTGAATTTCAGCTGTACGGTGGTGTTCAGGTGTAGGGCTGGGGACTGGCTGACTGTACAACAAACTGCTGGAGGCTCTTTGTTCCTTTGCTCAGCCTTGCACCAGTGAGACTGGCTTACTGCTCCTAGGGCATTAAAGCAAACAAGTAATATCACCTAGGGACAGATCAGATCTGGTGATCTGCTGGACAGAGACTCCCATAGCTCTGGCACTGGAAGTTCAGCCACCTGGATTTGGCCTTGGGGAGATGGGAGGTGATGTTGTACAGTGGGCGGTGA